GAAAAAGGTTCAGAGACATATAAAGATGTTCAGTCAATCCTGACTTACAAACAGATTGTAAGACTCAGATTGCAACCTTGTTAAAGGAAATTTTCAGATGTTTTAACAGGATATACCGGAAATACGTCATTAGTTCAGCATGACATTAAGTTGACTACGTCAGAACCGGTAAGGACTAAGGTTATCCTATTCCTTTTCACTCACAGCAGATAGTAAAAGGAAGAAGTTAAACAAAATGCTAGAGTTGGGAGTTATCGAACCTTCTAACGCTCCGTTTTCTAGTCCAATTGTCCTTATCAGGAAAAGGATAACACGATTAGGTTCTGTATTGATTTTAGACAGATCAATAAATGCACGGTATTTGATGCGGAACCGATGCCCAATATGGAACAGATATTTCGAAAATTATTCAAAATACAGGTATTTTTCGAAAATTGACCTTAGTAAAGGATTACTTGGCAAGTTCCTTTGTCTTGACAATGCAAAACCTTTGACCGCATTTGAAACCCCGTCGGGACTTTTTCAATTCCGGAAAATGCCCTTTGGTTTAGTCAATGCCCCTGCAACATTCTGTAGACTGATGAGAAAGGTTTTGAAAGATTTAGATCACTCGGATAGTTTTATAGATGATATTTTGGTCTATACAGTCACATTGCCAGAGCATATCAATGCATTGTATGAGTTATTTACCCAATTAAGAGAGTCTAGGCTTACTGCTAGACCGTCCAAGTGTTTCATATGTTTTGAAAAATTGGAATGTTTAGGTCATATGATAGGAGGTAGTAAGTCCATTGAACCTGTTCTCAGTAAGGTCAAGGCAATTCAGGAGACCGAGAGACCCACGACTAAGCGAGGAGTCCGGCAATTTTTAGGGGTTGTGTCTTGGTACCGGAAGTTCATCCCTAACTTGCCGCCATTGCTGTTCCGTTGAACCGATTTGACAAAAAAGATTCAACCAAATCGTATTGAATGGGGTGAAAGTCAGGAAAAGGCTTTTCAGACTCTTAAGGCTAGTTTGACCGGTCCGCCAATTTTGAAATTACCCAGATTTAGAAAGATATTTATTCTCAGAGTTGATGCTTCTGATTGTGGGTTAGGGGTTCTGTATTACTTCAAGAACAAGGTGAGGAGAAATTTCCAGTAGCTTATGCCAGTAGAAAGTTGTTACCAAGAGAACAGAAGTATTCTGTAATAGAGAAGGAGTGCCTTGGTATTGTTTGGGCAATTTCTAAATTTCACAGATACTTGTTTGGTAAGGAATTTATTCTAGAGACAGATCACCAGCCGCTTTTGTATCTTAACAAGGCAAAGTTAAGTAACTCTAGAATAATGAGATGGTCTTTGCTTTTGCAGCCATACAGGATGAGGATTAGAGCAATCCCAGGTAGAGAAAACATAGGTGCAGATTATTTAAGCAGGGTATAATGTAGAGTGTAGTGTAGTATTTATGGTGGTTATAAATATGGTGTACAGTATTTCTACTTACATTTTTGCAATTTGTCGTTTTCACTTTGTTGTTTTTAAAGAAAATTTATCAATTTCTTATTTAAAGGGGGGCGTAAATGTCACAAAGTGAAGTACGTTTGTAAAATATTGCAATTATATTTTCACGCCGAACCTCATTTTACTTCTATATTCATTGCTGTGAGATTGCATCATCTTTTGTTCAATTTTAGAGTTTTCGGGTGAAATTATTATTTAGAGTATTTTTATGGTTTGCATAAAATTTCCTTGTCTCAATTTAAACATTTTGCCGTTTATTTCACAAAAATCCTTTCAGTAATAAGAAAGTTACATTTTTGTTTTATGAACCAGTTATTTGTATTATGTCTGTATTTGAAGGACGGCCTTTATTTTTACATTACTATTTTTTCCCGCCGTCCCAGCTTTATTTCGTGCAAATCGATTTTTCATGTTTTGCACGATCTGTTTTTCCCGCTCAGTACTAAGTAGTTTGCTATATATTGACTGAATTTTAAGTGACATATTGCAATGCACTGGACGTTATACAGGTCACTATGACGGTGACAGACAAATTATATTTGTCATAAAATTACAGCTTGTACAAGGTAAATTTAATTTTCTAGTGATTTTGTTTCATAAATTTGTGCTATTTCGTAAATACTATTTTCTATTAGAATTATAGTTTATTTGATTCAGGTTTAGTTATTTGGCAGTAATTTATTGTTTTCTAAATTTTTGCAGATTAAATTTAAAAGCTCTTTTTATTCTAGTGTTTCGCTTATGCAAATTTATACCGAGACATGTTTATTGATGTATGTTAATTGAAGTTTTAATTATATTGTAATTGTATAGGAGCCATGAATATTTTATAGATATATATCAATTCATAAATAATTTATTATGGTTCTACCGTATTTGTGTAACTTTATGTAAAATGCTGCAGTATCGTAACGATTTGTTTCAATTAATTTAATTTACGTTATCATCTTACTTCATTTCATTTATCATCAGTTTTTTTGTTATAAGTAAATACAACGTATCAAAAACTTAACGTATCTCTAGAGAAGGATCTTCAGTGGCATGATTTTGGAAGACGTTTATTTATTGGTGGTTATTATGTGGCGTATATTTGAATATATTTGAAACGCAGTATTATGCGGATGTGATTGAATTTTTGTTCCACGGAATGTATGGTGTACTATAGTGGACATTTTGTTTATTCAAAGAAGCACGTTATTTTATTTGAAACCGACAAAGGTCGAGTCTTTTCCAAGGGACTTTATTATACCCTTATGTTTGATTATCATGGAACTTACCATGTTTTATACTTTGTAGCTTCTTATTTGAGGACACACCCGAAGATGACACGGGCCCTCCACACGTATGTCCATGGCTAAAGGGTGACGCATGCCCTTGTTTAGGATCCTATCAACTGTGCCAACACTGTAGGAAGTACAGTTACGCTTGATAAGATTTCATACAAGACGCCCGCTATTGTGACGAATTTTGTTTAACAACGCCACCACTTTATTGATACATCATGACAGAAACTTTACGGGAGAAATAGACTGAGATACGTTGATAGTGTTTGTTTGTGCAGTGACTTATCATAGTAGTTTATCATATACAATCATTTTTTCATTTATAAATATTCATTTCTGTAAATAAATTTGTATATATTTTTCTGTTCTGAGTTGTTGGTTGTTTAGATAGCAATTGTGGTCGGCCTGGTATCCCATCGTAGTCCCTATTGTGACATCTATGAAGAGCAAAATTCCCCCAAACAGATCAAGACATTTTGATGTTCTTATCTTGGCTATATATTGTCCTTTTTAAAATTACCCCTTGTCTAAGTATTCTTAATAAAATCATTTATATATATTTTCATTTGAAATGTTGAAACTCTACGCTTCATCTTATTATTGTATGGGCCGATACTAGTTACTAGTTTATTATTTTAGTAAAAAATGAATTTCTTCCCGAATACCGGTAGTTTTGTTCTTTATATTTCGTTTGTATTACTTAGCTGCGACAAAAAATATATCTGAAAGAACCTGTATGTTGTGATTAAGGTTGTAACAATTTTCATATAATTATGTATAAAATTATTCTTCTAAAACAATTATAAATTTCAAGAATATGGGAAATGTGCTCTGCAAATGTTTATGCGTATTATATGCAATCATTAAACTATTTGCATTCACTCCTTATTGAAAAAATCGTCTTAGACTTAATAGAAAATAAGTTAAAGTTTCTTATTACCTCCCTTTTTTTATAACATAACCCGCACGTGAGTCACATGCACAATTTAAAGCGATGTGGTACGTTTTATTTTGAAGTAAGATTTCTGTGGCACATTTTCTTTAAAATATAGAAAAGGGAATAATAATAATTTATGATAATGCAGATCAATCATTTATCTGACTTATTTGCAAATATTAATATCTTTTCTTCTTTTGTTAATAAGTGAGTTGGTGCAGCAAACAGATGTTCTTAAATAATATGGACTTGTTATCTTTTTTTAATTTTTTGATTTTAAATTAAATATTTTACTCGAGAATACTTCATGTACTATATCGTCACCTTAGTGCAAAAACTCAATAACTGCATATAGATAAAGAACCAGATATTGAGTTCTTGCACTAAGGTGACGATATGGTGTTGCCTCTGTTCAAGTTTAATTTGCTCTTGTTTTAAGAAGATAAACAATATCATAACAAAGTGACTTACAAGTATGTTTTGCCTGCAGTCAACATAAATAATACATGTCATTTTCAAACGATCTTTCGAATGCAGCACAACACTTTGTTTTGAATATTTTATTTCTAAAACTAAATTTAAAATACATTGTAAATTATTACCTTCATTAAATTAAATTATTAAATGATAAAAGGTAAAAATCTATAAATAGCCTTGATTCTATGAAAAGCTCAACATGTGCCTACCGTCAAATACGTAAACGGTCTCTTGGCAGTCATGCGCGCTTGTAATTGGTTAAAATGACCAATGAAATATTAACTTTTATTTAGGTCATTACTGTGTATTTCAAAGAAAGTCAATCTAAGATAATAACCTTCCCATTTTAAATGCAAAACTTGAGGATTGGAGTATTCCTTCTTGTTTATTTACTATTTTTTCTTCGTTTGTCACTGTAAAGGTACTTTGGTTTATACATAATTTATTTCAGGTTGATTGTACAGGAAACTAAAAGCTTATAGAACCAGTACTGAACAATGAGTGTTAAGTTTCTTGCTCAAGGAAACAACGACTTGCCCTCTAACGGGATTTGAACTAGATTAGATTATGTTGACTAGATTTACTAGTCAGACACGTTTACCAGTCAGCCATGCCGCACGTACTTTACGTGTGTCTTTGGCAGAGTTGGATAGAATGTCGAAAAAAAAACAAAAAAACAAGTGACAATATCCTTTCCGCCTAGAATTCGAGTCAAACTTAAACCTATTTTTAATTTTCTCTTTCACAACAATTTCTCTTCATTTCCATTTGTGACAGGTCCGAGTTTTATCAGGGTTATTCTGTGTTTGGTAAATATATTAGTTTTTAGCCTCGTTCTGAATGGTTCTATTTTTAATTCTTGATTTTCATTGGTCGTGGCATCGTTTCCGCCTAAGCTGAGTTTTAGTTCAAGTTTTTGGAGGGGTCTAGATGTGTTTGACATCTTTTGGAAGTTTTAGTTTTGTTTCTGTTGAAAAGGTTAAGTGTATTGTCAAATGGATTAATTGTATAGAGGTATATTTTGACCTACTGTTGTTTACATCCATTTTCAGTAATGAGTGTTAATTAAATCGTGAGCTTTTGGTAACTTATTTAATACATAGAATTTATGTACATGAAACTATCAAAATGGCGGTACGGGACTACTTTCTTTAACAAATCTAAATATCACTTGATATCACATGTTTTAATATAACCTCTAAATTTACAGTTTTACTGATAGTCACAGTGTGAGGAGGCGGTTGAGAGAGTTTATGCAGGTGTTATTTATAATTGTGGACAGTGCCATACACTGGTGAGTTAAATGATTGTTATTGTACATGTATGATGTGACTATATTGTTTTTAACAGATGATAACTTTATTTGTAAATTGTAATATTCAACCTTCTATGTTAAGGTTTAGTTAATAAGAGTGTAAGCCACTAGATTCCACTTACTTTATATGAAAGGCATCCTTTAATGTTTATGTATTATTTATTTGAGAAGATGAATTATTTCTTTCAGAGATTGTATTGTATTGCAAGTTATAAAGTAAGGATTTGTAATGTATTTTACAGGTCACCTTGTTGTTAATCACCTTGTATCATACGTTTGGAGAGGAGTAGTTTGTGAAGTGGAATGGACATGATCATGATATAAAATATGTGTAACATATCAGGTGTTTTATATATACAGTATAATAATATTAAGTAGAACTGCTACATGGTGTTTCTTTTTATGTTTTGGATCCTTTTAAACAACCAGAACCTAACCAAGACAACACATTCATTGTCTTTTTCTTTGATTTATTCGGATTATCAATTATTTTATTTCCTCTAAATCATTATACTTAATTTGACATATCATATCAACACAAAAAACACTCCAGACATGACATGTTAAGTTCGGTTTTACTGGACAACGTATTTCCGATTCGTTGCTTTTTACATTTTCTTTTCAAAATTGAAAAAATGTATCACGGTGTGTAAGAAATAGGTGAGCTCCAACTTTATACCTTTTGCCTTTACCATTATGCTATTATATCTTGCTATTAAACAACAACAACAACATGTTTTTAGCAATAAGAATTACAATACTATTAGCCATATTATACAATTGACATAAGGCGAAAAATGACACGAGATATCATTACCCATCTATAATTTTTTGCATAAAGAAGAAGCTCACACAATGTATAAACTTTTTTGACATAAGTAAATTTATATCCTCATACAAATATGATTACTTCTCGTATCATTTCTAAAATATTCCTTAAAAAAAGATATTATTTTTGATAAATTTAACAGTTGTCTTTCATTATCTGTAGACATCAGTCTATATATTTATTAAATTGTTTGCCACCTGCAAAAATATAGTTTTAAGTATTCTTTTCCTTATTTCTCGATATATTTGGCAGACAAGAGAAAAATGATAATCATCTTCACATTAGCTCATTAGTAAAATAGACACATTGATAATTTTGTTAAATGTAGTGAGCGATGATATCCGCCTTGTGGTCATGACAATTCTCACGCTTTGGTAAAATACCACACCCAGCCATTAAACAATATATGCAAAATTTACAGATAATTTAAACGGATGAGTTTCTCGTTATTATATATTATTGAAATTATCATTTAATTATATCTGATGGCGACATCCATTTTTTTCTCGAAACAAATTGAAGGTAATGCATTTCATTGAAAGCCTAAAATTATTAAAACCTGTAAACAACTCTTGTGATGCGCATGCTTCGCTTCAAAACACGGCTTTACATACAAGATAAGCCTCCGTGGTCGAGGGGTTAGAGTCGATGACTTCTAATCCAGGTACCTCTCTGGCGTGGGTTCGATCCCCGGGAGATGCTTTGGTAGTTTAGCGCGGAGGAAGGTTGTCTAGTACTGGTGTAACTCTCCAGGAATGATGGTTAGGAAACTACCCGCCTATATGACTGAAATACTGTTGAAAAAGGCGTAAAATGAGACAAACAAACATACAAACAAACATACAAGATAACATCAAGGTGAACAAATCGATTAAAGGAAATGTCGGAACATAATATTGTTACATTTAAAACTACTGGTTTATTTCGTTTAAAGTCCTCGTACTGCTTAAATTGATTATTAATTTCCGAATAGCGTTCTACAGTTTCATGTTTCTAAAAACACCTTGCCAATGTCGAAGGATGGCAACCCAGATAATAATTCAATAATTTGTTCATGGGGTAGTTACAAACCGTAGGGAAGTGTTACAGTACGCGTTTTTCGGTTTTACAGTATAGAATTTTCAAGATGGAGATTATTTATGGGAAGAGAGGTAGGTGATTTTTATTCAGGTCCTTCGTACTATAGTGTAGTTTCTAAAATATGTTTTTGTGCTTTGCTTGTAAGGAACAGAATCCGGAATCTAGTCATATATTTATTCAGACCCTGCACCGCAGATTTATCTCTATATTGTCTCATAAATATGCAGATTTGACGGTTTAAAAATTTGAATCGAGAGACTTACGCATTTTTCTCCCATTCCGACATTATTTAAGCATGCCTAGATAAAGTAAATCTGCAAAACGTTAGTCCTTTATGTTTAGAAACGTTTTTAAAAGTAAATGACCAGTTGAACCTATTTTCCTGTTGGTAAAATGCGTTTGAAAAATAAACAATGTTACGGTATAGAGCGGGTATTTTGAAAAGGTAACAGCATAGACCTAGCGACTTTGGTCAAATTTTGTTACAGTTTTACCCAGATTTCTGTTACAGTTTAGATACTTGCCAAATTTCAAACAAAGATCGTGTATCCATTATTTTCTATGAAATAACTCATACCTTTCTATTTATACATTCTTGAAAGTTGTATTACTTTTTTTCTTCAGCAGAAAAGTTTAGTTTGCTAATTTTTTCTCACTTAAAGTTTTAGATTGAGACTTTTTGCGAATAAGTAATGTCCTAAGTAATCTGTTTCACGACAACAACCAGTAAACTTTTTATCGAATTGTATGAGAGAAAAAGATTATTCTTGATTTCATTACACATTATAATAATGCCTATTAGTAATAAAATAGAGGAAAAAGAATCCATTAACAGAAAGTCCAACACGAAAAACATGAAAAATAATGCAGGCTCAGTTTGACTAAACCTGTTCATTGACTGCAAGCTACAGTTCACGCGCTCCTAAGCCCGGCTTGGCCCCCCAGAGAATTCACATTAAACATGAACTGGTACATCTTCAGGTTTTTTAACATCTGTGGATGTATTCATATGGCGATTATCATGGAACCTTCAATGTGACACGTTATTGCCATTCTATGAAAAGCGGCATATTACCCCCCCCCCCCGGTTAAAGCTTGTGTGTGCCCTAAACAAGAATACAATGAGTGAAACTAAACAAAATGAAATTTTGAGAGGGGATCGGTGGTTATGAAGCCTGCATATTATAGATAAGCTGTCAAAAGACATAATTAACAAGCAGGCAATACCCTAGGAATGATTAAACAGTGTTTAAGTGAGCAATACTGCAACATTAAATTCTATTTTAAGTTGGAATTTCCATCTACCATAATGTATTTTGTAAGTATTTAAAAGGGTTTATGAACATTTTCAATTTTGTTGAGTTGGAATTTCGTTACGTTTGGCTTTCTTGGACACTGAGGTCATGTGAAAACATTCCTGCTTTAGTGTAAAGAAAGACCCCAGATACCCTTTGTGAAACATTTCAGACACGAGCGCCTGACTAGCACCACTGACCTTCCGTAAATTAGCTTGATAGATTCCTCACATACAAAGAATCCAAAGTCATTATTGGATTTCAACTACAGCAGTAAATGAAAGATGATTTGAAGTCGACGGCCTTATCCCGACTCTGCCACTATTATGTACCTCCATCAGACTCACTAGAGAAGATATTGTAATTGTCTGACCTTATTTTTTTTATACTGTCCTGTTTTTGTTTGGGGTCCGCCTGGGCTCCTTGCCACGTACTGGTTCTTGTTGCTGGGTCATATGGGGGTTGCGTTCATTGAACGCCGCCTTTCCTTGTTGATCTTGTTTATCATTTTTCATATTCTATAACTTTCAATATTATTTTCTTTTTCAGAAACATGAAAACTGCTATACAGGATGTCTGAAAGAAAAAAACGACTTTTTATTTAATAATGACAAAATAATCGTAACTTCAACAAAGAAGCATTCGAAATGACGCCATGATCATGATTTGATTTGAATATTTTTGGTTCGAGATGAGAAGGTAGAAAGTCATGTAAATTTCATCACATTTAGTCAGGTAGTTACTGAGCGGATAAGATTGCACACACATGTGTACGACAGACGGACGAAAAGCCATCGGGCCAATAAGCTCACAGAGATTTAAAAGTCTATGTAACATTCATACATTTTACCTAGTATAATTATATAGAAAATATCGAAGTCTAAACTGTAACAAAATCGGATACAAATCGCTAGGTCGCTCTATACTGTAACATTGTTTATTTTTTCAAACGCATTTACCAACAGGAAAATAGGTTCAACTGGTCATTTATTTTTATAAACGTTTCCTAACATAAAGGACTAATGTTTTGTAGATTTACTTTTTCTGGTATGCATAAATAATCGTCGAAATTGCAGAAAAATTGCGTTGGTCTCCCGATTCAAATTTTCAACTGTCAAAATCTGCACATTTATGAGACAATATAGAGATAAATCTGCGGTGCAAGGGGTCTGAATAAATATATGACTAGATTCCGGATTTCTGTTTCCTTACAAAGCGCGAAGCACAAAGACATCTTTTAGAAATCAAACTTACTTGTAGATTGGACGGAATACAATCTCCCTACCTCTCTCTTCCTAACAAATAATCCCTCCATCTTGAAAATTCTATACTGTAACCGAAAAACGCGATACTGTAACACGTTCCCTACGGTGAGTTTAATAAGCAACGATAACTATAGTTTTTTAGCAATAGAAATTGTTAACCTTCTTCCACAGTTGATGGTTAGAATGTCATTTTTTTAATATAAACTTATAAGACTTAATGGCGCTGACTGTTTCTGAAAGCCGGGTAATGACTGCATATTATTATAAATTTATTAACAATCAATTTTCGGTTTTCAAAAGAATAAATCAACAATTGACTGTATTTATATATACATGCTCTTATTTCAAAACCTCTCGCTGAAATGAAAAACTGAATATAGCCTTTTATTGGTTTTTGAAAAAAAAAAGTTCGACAGAATTGAAAGAGTTGATTTGAATGCAAATATTGATCACAAAATTTGTATTGGCTATAAAGGGTCACTGTACTCAAGCACTGGAGTGAAGGAAAGAGCATCTTTTTTTTTTTCCCTAAACGATATTGTTAATAATGTTAATACAGATGTTATTTGAAGCATTTGATCTTTAAATGATGGAACCCGGCAAGTTTATATTTCACGATCGAAAAACCCTACAGTCAATTTTAAACGACATAGAAAATATGGAATTGGTAAAATGGGTTTTTCAGTTTTAATAATATCAAAACAAAAGCTATGCTTTTTTTGAAAATAAAAACGCCCCTAAAATTTTTTCTTACCCAATCATAAAAGAATATATAGTTTTTTTTAAAAATTTGCCAAAATCCCTTTTATTTTAAAGGCAACTAAACCCAACACAAAAGCGATGATTGAAATTGGTTTTTTTATTAAAACCTTTTTCCCCCTTTCCCCTTTTGTCCGTTTTAAAAATAAGGATTT